TTCCCGGTATAGATATCTATGAAGTTTTAAGAATTTCTAATGAAGTCCAGGAATTTAGATATAATAATCAGCTTCTTGAATATTTTTAAGTTTATCTAATCTCGCGAATTTTTAAGCGATTTTAAAACATTTCCAAGAATCAACAAAGATATTCAATGACATCCAAAGATATTTTAGGATTTAAGGACATTATTCAAGGAAAGAAAGATATCAAAGTATTTCATGTGATTGATTTCAATCAATATTAAAATGTGTTAAAATAGTAGGGAAATAAAACTATGAATGAAGTATTAGGATCTTAAAGAATTGGACATTATAAGGTTTTTATTAACGAAAATTTGCATTGAACAATTCCAAAAGTATAATGAAACAAACCATAATAATTAGCCATAGGGTACATTAATTGTATCAATGTACATTGATTTAACCCATTAACGGCCAAAGGTGCGTAGTCGCACCTTTTCGTATTTTTTTTTTTTTCAATCTAAATTAAAATAAATTTTTGCTATTTATTTCATTAAACCATTAGTATTAAGTCTAAAGAATCTTGTAAAATTGTTAGTGTTAACAAAATGCACTGTAGGTATTGTATTTAAAAAAAAATACAGAGTATTGCTAATTTCGGGTACCACAGCATTGACTTAGAAAAAATAACAAAATTTGTTTATACATTAATTATAACAAAACTGTTTCTATGGCAAACGCTTCCCAAAATGTTGTTTTAAACATGGTAGAAATATATTTATTTTATCATAAACGAAACCAGTGCGAGATAATCGGCTGGCAAACTGTTCAATCGAAACAAAGGAAGTTATGAAGAAAAAACAACGAGGTTCGTATATTTGCGTATTTGATCCCAATTAGGAAGTATTAGTGGTACAGTGGAACGACAATTCGGTCGTCACAGTAATTACCAATGTTTGTAAAGTACTCCCTTTTGCATAGGCTACATGGTATAACAGAAAAGAACATAAAGAAGAAACAATTCCACAACCCCACGTAATAGCAGACTATAATACATACATGGGAGGAGTTGATCTTCACGACAATGGCATTGCTAATTACAGAATCAAAATAAGAGGGAAAAAATGGTGGTGGCCATTGTTTATCAACATGATAGATAGCGTAGTAGTCGACAGCTGGAAAATTTTTAAAATGGCAAACAGATCTAAAATGTCGCAATTACATTTTCGCTCCTCATTGGCTGTAAGTTTGATGAAATTCGAAGGCCATTCTGAATTAACAAATGTTAACCCTTCTTCTTCTCACGGTAGAACATCGAGGCAAAGTTTACCGCAAGAGATAAGACTCGACAACATAAGGCATATAATAAAAAAATCAGAAGCCAATTTGAGAAAAAAGTGCAAAGTCTGCAAAAGCCATACAATATACTAGAGTTGGGACCGAAGCCGAATAATTATTCGCTATTCGGCTTATTCGGCCTCATTTTTAGTATTCGGCTATTCGGCCGAATATTTGGCAATTTCGCCGAATATTGAGTTTTATGTGTAGACGTTTTAAATTTTAATAAACCTTGTGGTGCAGATCACAATAGGTTTACGAAACAAAACACATGATAACTTCCTCATCAGATAAACTTTATTTGATAAAAAAGATCAATAATCATAATTAATTAACGGCAAGGTTTCGTGCAAAAATACTAAATGAGCAGCTCTCTCTGGTAGTAAGCGATTTCTTTTTTTTCATATAAGTTCCCTGCTTCTGAAAACAGTCGCTCACTGAAAATTGTGCTTGATGGAGCGGATAAATACACTTTTGCAAGACAACTCATTTTAGAATATTTGAAACTGTTTGCTTTCCACCAAACAAATGGATCTTCATCTCGTTTTAAGAGTTCTCCGGATAAATAACAGTCCAGTTCAATTGCTATCCTATTTCTTGGATTGAAGTCTTTAACGGCCTTACTAGACGAAGCTATGTCTTTATAGCAGTCCCAGAAAATACCATGACTTCGATTGATCCCACTTGTTGAAGGTAACTCTTCATCGTTATCTCTATCATCGCTACTGCTGCTCTCTGAATTAAATTCCCTTTGAAGCGCTTCTAAAAAAAGGTACGCCTTATAACAGATATGTTTTCAGATGAGAAAAATTGAAAACGAAATCGAGGATCAAGTAACGTTGCCATATAATAATTTTTTTCCATTTCTATATTTTCAAATCTTATCTTTACCCCTTTCAATAAAGTAAGTCTCATTTCAGTTAAATTTTCTGAAACGAGATCGTCTTTCGATAAGTATTTTATTAATGTTTTTACATTCGGAATTACGGAGGAAATGGTAGCAGAGGAGGAGCTTGCCAATTTAGTAATTTCTTCTAGCGGCTTAAGAAGCAACATACATTCTTCTAACAGTTGCCATTCTGCTACAGACAGATTCTGAAACTTTACATCATTTTCAGAAATATATAGTGTAACCGCCCTCTTTTGTTCACACAATCGAGCGAGCATGTAAAACGTGCTATTCCATCTCGTGCGGACATCTTGGATGAGTTGATGAAAAGGTAAACCAAGTTCTCGTTGATGGTCTTTTAATTTTTCTTGGGCCGATTCAGAGTGGTGAAAATGGGTCACAATACGTCTTGATGCGATTATCATCTGAGTTACATTTTCCTGAACACATATGGCTTCGTTTACCACCAATTGCAACGTGTGAATGAAGCAAGGGATCGGGTCGTACATGGAGTCATTAAGGGCTTTGACCATATTAGCACCATTGTCACGTAAAATAACGTGTACTTTTTCTTGTGGTATGTCCCAAATTGTCATAATTTCAGATATTGCACTGCGAATATTGTTCGCTGTATGTTGCCCAGGAAAATGTTTCATATCCAGAACACAGTGTTTTTGTGTGAAATCATCTGTTAGCCAATGAATTGTTAAGCTAATAAAACTCTGCATATTGTTGTCATTAGTCCACATATCTGTCGTTGCAGAAACTGCTACAGCTTGGGATATTTCTTTTTTTATGACATTTTTGGTTCTGTTATATATATCTGGAATTATTACGTCGGTTATATGTTTTCGGCTAGGACTTTTATATTTTGGCTTCATTTTTTTTATTAACCTTACAAAACCAGTGTTTTCCACTATGGATATCGGCTGATTATCTACAGCAATCATTTCTGCAATTGCGTAGTTTATTTCTTTTGTTCTACTATCAATCTCACTCCACTGGGTAGTAAAAGATTCTTTAATAGTTTGTTGTATTTTCATTTTTTTGGGGGGATTTTGTAAAAAAACTTTTATTTCTGTCGGATGGTTTTCTTGTGACTTCTGAACACTTAATTCTTTGAAAGCCTCTGGATGCTTTCCTGAAATTAAATTAAAGTCACTTTACGCTGTCGCAAAACATTTCTTTACGTTTGTCAAAAATATTATAAGTATTTAAGTATTAGTATTTAAGTTTAAAATTAGGCTTATAGAACAACCTTTCAAATAACCCTGTATAATGACTAAATGACTAGCATTTAACAAAAGGCTGGATATTCAATGTGAAATTAGATAGTTTTATCTTCGATTTGCTAAAAAAATTATGAAAATCGATGTAAAAATAAGAAAGTTATCACACTTCAAACTTTACCAAAAATTGACGTGTTGCGTTTTTTTGCACCTGAGTGTATATTAATTAAATTATATTATATTAGAAATAATATAAATTGTTTTCAATTTTATTATTTTATTTATTTTCATGTCTGTTAATGTTAGACAGTTATCCAAACACGTATATACACTTACCTTTTATGTGGTTTATAAGGGAACTAGTTGTTGCTGATTTTCCTTTTCCACCTCTTGAAATAAGAGCGTTGCAAATTGTACATTCTGCTTTACTCTCCTCCTCGGAATCTTTGAAAAACATCCAAACTTTCGATTTTTTTGTTGTACTCATATTTTTCACGACACTAATTTAACTCAATGATTGAACTATCTTCTCACCTCGCTTGTCACTTATCAAATAAGCAGTAACGGCAGTAACGAAATTTTTCGTATATTCACAAGTTCAGACATGTACGGCGATTAATGCAAATATAACCAAGATAGAACTCGGGGAAGCACCGACTTCGAGTTGGATTATCGAGATTTGAGAAATATTCGGTTAGGCCGAATATACGATTCAAATGTCGGCTGATATTCGGTATTCGAATATTCGGCTAAACTACTATTCGTCGCATCACTACAATATACTTTAGCAAAAAATGTAAAGTACATCTGCACGCTGATTGTTTTGAATATTTTCATATTAATGTATAATTTCAGTTATTAAATTACTCTTATTTTCCAAAGTTTGAATAAATTATTTTTTTTCTAAATGACACGATTATTTGCCAAAGGTGCGTATACGCACCCCCATTTATTTGAAGCATAATTGATTTTTTTTTAGATCATACTTCAAAATTATCTTATTTAAGATAGTCTAAGAAATATTCAATCAATTTTTTAAAAATAAAAACGTATTTTGTAGTCGTGGCCATAAATGGGTTAACACAAAAAGAAAATTAGGGTAAATCAACTCTTATTTATTATGAATTATGAACTCATATTGATTTGTCTTAAAATCTTCATTATTGTTACTATCATTAAACAAAATGAAATTTGTTGTAAGTGAAGTAAATTTTTTCAAATTTTTAGCAACTAATATATCTCAATCTAAACAAGTAGTACATTAATTCCAATAACCTTAATGCCACACCTATCTATACACAGAGGCATTTTAATCTTCGGTTACCTCTCGATTTAGTCTTTATAATTAAGGAATACTAAATACTTGAGTTATAACAAATATTCTTTTTGTATAACTTTGTACAAAATCATTAGAGTTGATTTGGAAGAAATCTTTACATTTTTGTTTGAGAGTTTAAACAAAATTAATTTGTCTTGATTCTGTATTAATGAATACCTGTAATTAAATTATTAACTTAAAAGAAATAAATTAAATGGTTTAAAAATCGTAATTCTACATAACCTCAATTTTATGTGTCAAGATGACGTAATGTCATTTTTTAGGTTAGTTTATTAAAACATAATTATAATTTCAAACAAACAGTAATTCAGTTTAATAAAAATAATATGAAATTGTTAAACCTTTCTAAAAAATTCTTAAATAAGAATTAATTCTTTGAACCATCCTGCCATCTCTGTTTTAATTCAGACACAATACGTGCACGTAATAGAATGGATACGCATCAGATAAAACAGGTAGTCAATGTTCGTGTGTAAATACTTTTGAATTAAACTTGAAATATTTTTATACACACATATTTTTCGAGGTAAGATCCCTCATAATTACATACTTATACAACTTTACTTTAACAATTACCTATTACCCGTCAAATTCAAACAATTTAAAAGCGCGCATTCACCATTTTAAAGTTTTTGAGGTTATATCACTATTTATTGGGGCCTGTTGCTTCTATTTCCAGATACGTACATAGCTTTAATATTTCACGAGATGCCTTCATCAGTGCGTCCTAAAAGTTACACTGGTGGAAGCAGGACTTTGCCAGTTACACCCATGTCCGAACGTCAACAAATGGCCTTATTAATGCAAATGACTTCATCAAGTAATGAAGCTAGTCGAAGCCCTAGTAATAGCACTAATAGTAGCAGTAATAATAATAGAAATAAAGATAGAAACGAACGTGGCGAGACACCTTTACATTTAGCAGCTATTAAAGGAGACGTTGAACAAGTGTCAAAACTTTTGGCTCATCGAGCAGATCCTAATATAGCTGATTATGCAGGTAAGCATAAAACTTGTCTATAATATTAATTGTAAATACATAAAAATTAATGATTTTTTTATTTAGGTTGGACACCTTTACATGAAGCATGTAACCATGGCTGGTACGAGGTTGCATATAAATTGGTTCAAGCTGGGGCCAATGTTAATGCTAAAGGTTTAGATAATGAGACGCCTCTTCATGATGCTGCTGTAAATGGTCACTTGAAACTGGTCAAATTATTAGTGGAAAAAGGGGCTGATATTCATGCAAAAAATTGCAAGGGAAAGACCCCTTTAAGTATTGCTTCCCCTGGAGTAGCTCAAATAATGTTGGATCCTACTTTACCAATTTCAGGTAAGTGGTGTTTTTCTGACTTTATATAAATGGGTTTTCTTAATTGTAATAAGTTTAATGTTTAAATAGGTTTGTATTATTGTGGAAGTTTTATTATTATTAAATATACTGTATATCTTATCTTTTTGGTAAGATAGTCTATTAATTAATGAATAGTTTTTTAAGGATTAGTTATTTATTAAGTAAAATCATGGGTGAACATATAAGTTAATACTAATTAATATAAATTAATTAAAAAAAAAAATGGATAACTTTAGAGTATTTACATTATTGATGATAAGAGTATCATATCCACTTTATTACAATTTTTATTTAATTCTTAACATATTTAATTATCTCTATAATTTAATATAATATACAAAAAATTAAATATCTGAAATCTCTAGATAAATATCTAGATGGATAGATAGATAGGGAGATTCCGTCCTATTCATTGGAAATTTACTCAAGTTCAGCATGTACTTTCACCTTTATACTGAAAGGGAAATTATTAATGATAATATATTTATGAAAATTTTATATTTTAGAACAACAAAACATGAATAAATGGAACATTTATTTAAGAAATTAAAAAATTATAAATTGAAATGAATAAAATTGAAATTGATTCCGCAGAAAACCGTGTGTGAAATGGAAACAGCGCATTTTGGTATATGTAAATCGTGTAAATCAAAAACAGTCTAAAATGTGCATCATTCAGATATTTGCTTTAACGTAAATTAATATTGGAATGCAAGTAAATAGTACATGTATTTTCTAATAGATAAAAATGGCAGTTTGTTAATAAAATATGTAACAAACTAACATATATATGTAATTAACTAACTAGAAGATATTGCAAACTGTTATCACTCTTGTAGACTACATATTAATCTTTTCTTCTTAACTGGAATGATATCACTTTCATCACTACATACTTCTACTTGCTTTTACATACGATTCAATGTTGGATTTACTAAGGATTTCAGTTTGATCAGATTTTACAGTGATATCTATAATTAACCAATGTGTTTGAAAATTTAAAACCAACCATAGCTCGCGAAAAAGGGTTGCTTCTTTTCAGCTGAAGAAGTAGTGACTGATTCTCAAAGTTTTCATAAAGCTTCAAAGCCTTATTTCTAATTGCATTGGCAATTATAAGTACTTTTAATATATAATAAGTACTTTTAAAGATTTTTTTAGTTCCCTTAGGGAATTTTCTAAAAGAGAAACTGCTTCAAATAAATTGGTATTTATCATCTGAAGTAATTTTGACAAGGGTAAAATAATAATAATAACCATAATCTAAGAGACAATATAAATTCCGGAGAACTTGTGATTACTAATCCTTTCTGGCAGTAGGGTATATTTTGAGTTGTATCTCATTGCATTGATCACAGCGCATCGGTACTTATTGTATCTTCTGCGGCCCAAGAAAATTTTGAAACGAAAAGCTTAGACAAACTGCCTGTATCTAGAGATGATCTTTCTAGTCACCTTCTCAATATGCAAATTCAAAAGAAGTATACCCAGTAGAAATTCCATTATTACAGATGAAATGGTACTTATTTAATTAGTTTACGTCAATCTGGATATTGGTTGAATTTGAAAATTTACTGGGAATTGAGACCTGTTGGAGTTTCCTGCAGCTCCTTATGCTATTATAGATCTAACCATAGTCATGTAGAATCAGTAAAATCTTCTTAAGGATTAACTTCTAATTCTTCCTTTGTGGAGGAGACTTTTTAAATACGCGTTCCATGATAGGATTTATTCCCCTTGAATTGTTGGACTGGTTGTTTTCTCAAGTTGTTTTATTTGGTGAAAGGCACAATGATAACCTTTGTGGATTAATAGAGAGGATTTCTGACATCACAAGTAAATTGCGTTTATGATATCCTGAGAAAAAAAAACTTTAGATATCTTTAACATCCTCGACAATCACTATCAAGTAATTAACTAGAAGACACCAATGAATTGGGGGTATGTAGTACTCCTATGTAGCATACTAAATAAAATTCAATTATTAAGTTCAATTCTATATCCAGAAAAGCACAAATCAAAATCTCCGTTTCTTCATTAATCTTGAATACCCCGCTTACCAAATCCTATAGGACTTGTTCTGCTGATTTTCAGCTTGATTAGCTGAATAGGCGATTCAGTGTACCATATACTAATGACATTGTGCCGACATGGCCTTTCAGAATCTTCTATTTTTAAGTTGATTCCAAAAAAAAAACAACATGTAGCATACTAAATAAAATTCAATTATTAAGTTCAATTCTATATCCAGAAAAGCACAAATCAAAATCTCCGTTTCTTCATTAATCTTGAATACCCCGCTTACCAAATCCTATAGGACTTGTTCTGCTGATTTTCAGCTTGATTAGCTGAATAGGCGATTCAGTGTACCATATACTAATGACATTGTGCCGACATGGCCTTTCAGAATCTTCTATTTTTAAGTTGAATAGCCAAAAAAAAAAACAACATTAAAAAACATTACATGGAATAGCAATATGTGGTAATGGTAAAAGAATATATTCATGACAGTTCATTGACAAGCGAGAGTCATGATTTGATATTGTGGTCTTGATGAAGCAACACTTGCTCTGGACATTTTTACCCAAACACATAACAAGTGCAAAATTTTTGTTACAATGAAATATTTCTTCTTATCTAGTTTTGTCTAATAATCTGTTTCTTATCTAATATGTTTCATAGTTTTGCCACACACTGAGAAGGTATCAAAGAAGAAATTGATGAATACATAATTTCTGAAGCACAATTTAGGTACCGTCCTTGTCATGTTTCTACTATCCAGAGTTGTATCGAAATCACTACACTGCTGTAGGATTCTAAGCTGTTTTTATTAATATTCTCATATTGCCACTTACATTAAAAAAAATAAAATATCTCATTCAAATACAGATGTGCGCAAATGACGTGTACAACGGAAGACCACAAGTATCTTGACCAAAAATATGATGATTTAACTCAACTTATCTATATACAAAATTGTTTAGATTAGCCGCTAGAGGGCTTTAAAAATAATATTTCTTTTTAAATTTTTTTAAATAAGTCGAAGAGCAGCTATTTGTGGAATAAACTCTAACTTCGAAAGTTAGGGTGTTTAAAAACTTTGTCACAATAAATTAAGCATCTATATTTCTTTAACCCCCTGTATAGACACTACCATTTTTTTTTCTGAATACTTACTTTCATTTAGAAACTATTTTCTTACAAAATTTCAGTTGGGTAAGCGGTTTAGCCATAACAAAATATTTTCTAAATCCCCAAGCGCGAATGAGTGATGTAAACATGTAAGGTAACACTAATAACGTTTTTTTTAATAGTTGGCCAGGTATAATTAATTTTAAAAAACAAAATCAGTTTATGTCACTTAAACTTGACAGCGTTATTCGTATTTTTCATTTTGCGTTTTATCTTCGATTCATCATGAATTTTCAAAGCCCTCTAGCGGCTAAACTAAGCAATTTTGTATATAGATAAGTTGAGTTAAATTATCATATTTTTGATTAAGGTACTTGACGTCTCATCCGTTGTACACGTCATTTCCGGACACCTGTATAATTCATTTATGAGCCAATTAAATAACACAAAAGCAAAATAAGCTGTCTTAATCACAACGGAGATTACAAAGGAGTTTGTGTCATGTTGGATTCCATGAACAAGAATTAATTTGTGGATAATCATCTTAAAGATCACCTACGATACGTTGTGGATTTTGAATCTACAGGTGTTTCGGTGACTCGGGGAATAAATGTAACTACGTATACTGGAAATGATCCACATGAGTCCTCAAATTGCAAAGATACAGGCCATCAAAGTTAAGAAATAACACATTTTTGCAAACAATGCTATACAGGCTGTTCCTAAAATTTGTTTACTACGAACTTTTTTATTCTATCACAACCCTACATTTATTTTGCAGTTTCTAATAGTAAATTTAGTTTAGAAAGTTTTAGCACTCTTAGAGAATATTAATACAAACCACCGTTTTTGTATTAAATGCAAAAATGTTAAGCTCCGAATTCAATAATAAAACTAAAAAAAATAATAATCTGAATTGGCAATGACAAGTGAAAATCGAACTGAGCCGTCATAAGTATTATGTATGCAACATTTCAAAGTGTAGATTTAGTTAAATCCATTTTTAATTTGTTTTAGTTGCTTTAATAAAAGAGATTCCAAATATAATAAATTAAAAATCAACAATAAACCGACAACACTAACTGGAATAATAAAAAAAAGTACATAAAATAACAACACAAGTAATAAAAAATACTAAAGGAAATGTTCAAAAACTTAGATTTCTTTTTTTTTTTAGTGCTAAATTTGAAATCGAAATCCAACATTTTTGCATTGAACACGAAAACGGTGATTTTTATCAATATTATTTAAGAGTGATAAAAGTTTCTAAACTAAATTTACGCTAAACTGGATTCTAATGTATAATGTAGATTGCAAATTCAAGCTCCTACATACAGGATGTTTCATGAGGAATGGTACATACGTTAATATGTTATAGATTTCTACATTTTAAGCAGAAAAGTTCCTAAAAATATGTGCTTAATACTCAAAGGTAACTAAGATACAACCAATTAATGCATAAACGGATTTATTTAAACGTGTACATATAATATAGAAATTCGGACTTTAAAGGAAGGGTTCGAATATCCCACTCGATGCACTTGGCTGATTTCTTGAAGATATCACGCATTGTGCTGCGTAATTTAGCCTGATGTGCCTTGATTCGTACAGCACTGGCCGTAATACGAGTGATTAGCTCATCACGCGAGATATTACCCATACACAAAATTCCAATCTCCTGGCAAAGTCTGGTGGTTTAAGGTGTTGTAGTGGTTGAACATGGAATGGATAGAAGCCATGAGTACGCAATGTTCTCCATACTTTTACATGAGGAACACCTAGACGAGCATAAAGTCTTCTTGTATTGGTAGATGGACTGTGTTCGACCGACTGAAGAATTTGTTCAA